TTGGTGGTACTGCACACTCACAAGCGGACAACAAGCTGACCAATCAAGCTTCCCTCAAAGCAGTATTCTAGCAACGGCAATCGACCAGATAGACCTTGCTAGACTGCGTTTTTCCTTCAAACCACGAGTTCGCAGTCAGCAAGTCTATCGGGAGCCTGATTTTTCTTCCTCGTCGTCCTTGCAGCTGGGCATGTTGCAGCAACGGCAAGACCTGGAGGATGGGCGGGAGCGGGCCGCCCCCGTTCCGCCGGAAAAGTGGTCGCCGCTGGTCCAAGAAATGCTGGCGGCTCTGCCGTACAAATTGACGGGGTCGCAGGAGGGCGCGTGCGCCGAGATTGTTGGGGACCTGCGCCGCAAAGTGCCCATGAGCAGGCTGCTCCAGGTAACGCCGGGCGTTTTGAGCGGGGATTCTTGTGTTGATGCATTTTGGGCGGCACCTGATGGTGACGTCAGCTTGAGCTGCCTTTCCAACGTATCAACGGCTTGCTTGTTCACAGGGTTTGATTCCCAAATGACCTGAAGGTTCGGATGCTAGGGCTAGTACGGCCGTCTGCTGCAGATCTATTGAAGCCCGTATCGACAATAGATTGAAAACCTGTGGGTCGCAAACGACACTGAGCGGCTCTTCACCCCTTGATTGCAGTCAACAATTGCAAAACAAATGCTCTCTGCAATTGTGAAGTACCGACTCGGCGTGTGTAACCAAGCCTCGTTGGCGAGTCGTCAATCGTAAAACCACTCTTGCACACAATTGGCCAAGATTCGCATGCCGCTTCCTTCAAGACGTAATGCCTTTCGCATTGGACCAATCTCTGTTCGCTTTGTGTAACCAAGCCTTGTTGGCCGGACGTCAACATAAAGCCACTTTTGCACAATTGGACCAAGCTTACAAGACGGAATGGCCTTTCGCAGTGATATCAATCTCTGTTCGCTTTTCAGGGCGACGTTGGGTGCGGCAAGACGGTGGTCGCCCTTCTGGCGCTGCTGGAAGTGGTCGCTGCTGGCTACCAGGGCGCCATCATGGCGCCAACCGTGTTCCTCGCCGACCAGCACTTCCGTAAGTTTTCCGCGTGGCTCGACGCGCTGGGCCCCGCTCACCGGCCCACGCTCACGCTACTCAAGGGCTCCATCACCCGGAAGGAGCAACGCGACCGGCGACAGGGCCTCCTGGACGGGACCACCCAGCTGGCGGTCGGGACGCACGCGCTTCTCTCGGAAGGCGTCGAGTTTGCGAAACTAGGGCTCGCGGTGATTGACGAGCAGCACCGGTTCGGCGTCGATCAGCGCGCGAAGCTGCACCAGAAGGGGCTGCGGAAGGTCGGGCCGGGGGGGGAGGAGGACGGGGAGGAGGACCCCCCCGCTGCGGAGCGGGAGCTGCCGTCGCCGCATGTGATGGCCATGACCGCGACGCCGATCCCGCGCACGCTCGCGCTCGCGCTTCATGGCGAGATGGATATCACAGTGGTACGGCCGCCGTTTATTGGTCTATAAGAGTTTTAGTAAGCTCACGTTATATGAAGCTAACCTGCCTGGGACGGGTGGGCTTAGTGAGGTAATTTAGGGTGGGCAGGGGTGCGGAGCGGGTGGATCTTTGGCTTAGGTTTGGGTTTTCGGTGTTAGTTTACTTTAAATTGAGCTACCATGAGTACTGTTGGAGAATTATTCTCCGTCTCTGCACGAGACTTTTGCTAGGTTCCTGGGACTGCTAAGAGTGATACTCTTTTTTCAGGGTCGCTTGGTTTAGGCGTGCTCTTTTCGAGGCATGCTGTGTGGAGACTGTCCAACGGCCGCTGGATCACGTGCCTTTACCTGGTCTTGAAGTCGCTCTCGAATCTACGCACTGTTTGCCGAGTGCTGGTTAACAAAATGGTCGCCGCCAAGTGAAGCAGCTACCTTTTCAAAGTGCGACCAATGATAAGCTTTGCAGACTGTGGAAGAAGTGAAACAGATTAAATGAAGCTCAACTTCGTGCTTGTTCAGCTTTCGAGTCATCCCCACTCTCTCGTTTACTGTATTGCAGATCGACGAGTTGCCCCCGGGCCGGCCCGAGATCACGACCCACGTGGTTTTCGACACGGAGGCAGGGCGGCGGAAGGCGTACGAGAGCGTGCGGGAGGAGCTGGCAGGGGGCGGCCGAGCCTTCATCGTGTTCCCGCTCATCGACGAGTCGGTGGCTAGGGTACGGCAGCTTGAAAGTTCGCTTCAAATCTTTCAATACATCAAATTTAAATCCCTGCTTACGGGATAGGAGGAACTCCCATATTGCGGTTGCGAAAGCTTGACTGCCGGGATTTGAGGAGCTTTTGAAAGACACTCTTTTGGCAGGCCAAGTCAAAGCTTTCTCCGTTGATTATCCTTGACTTGTAGCACACAAGACCCTGATCAGATCCTACGTCAGTGGCGTGGTCTGGATGCATTCTCGCAATATGGTGTACCGTCTGCTATTCGCCTTCCATCACCGACGTTTACACAGCTACGTCTTTCCTCGTCCTCGCTCCGTCTTAGGCTAACTGAGTAAAGCCGGGACCACGCGTTCATGGGCATTTGTCATGTTGCAGTCAAACTTCTGTAGATCTTGCTTCGCTTGTTCTGTACAGGAGTGGCGCTCCGCCGTGGCCGAGTACGAGGCCCTCCAGTCGGGTTTCCTCGCCGGCTTCCCGTGCGGCCTGGTCCACGGGCGCATGAACCCCGTCGAAAAGGAGGAGGCCATGGCGCGCTTCAAGGCGGGGGAGACACGTGTCCTCGTCTCCACGACCGTGGTCGAGGTCGGGATCGACATCCCGGAGGCAACGGTAATGGTGGTGGAGCACGCGGAGCGGCACGGCACCGCGCAGCTGCACCAGCTGCGGGGGCGAGTTGGGCGCGGAACGCGCGCGGCCACGTGCATACTGCTGACCAGCAGGTGCGCGGGGATTGTGGATGTTTGCGGAGGGGCCTTTTTCCAAAGATTGCGTGTTTTGTTTGTGGGTTTGAAGTTTTAGAGGTGGGCTCCTGACGGTTTCCGTCTTCACTTTTCGACGAAGTGCTGTCTCCGCCTTTCCTCCTTCGTGCCTTTCTTCTCGCCTCCTCCCACTTTTTTTCCTGGCCCCTCATATCTTCACTCTTTCTCGTTTCGGAAAATGGTTTGAATGGTCAAGCAACCCTTTTCCTTTGTTCTTTGTTCTGGCAGAGCAAATCGGAATGTGGACCTTGAACGTTTTGCTCGTAGTCTCTGCTTCTGTGAACCCATCGCCGATTGGTCATAATCTCTCCGTGCCGTGCAGCCGCGGGGCATTGCCCCGGTTGCGGGCCCTGGAGCGGAGCCGCGACGGATTCCGGTTGGCGGAGCTGGACCTGCAGCTGCGCGGGCCGGGGCACCTGCTCGGGAAGAAGCAGTCGGGGCACCTCCCCGAGTTTGCCATTGCGCGCCTCGACACAGACGAAGGGATCCTCAATGACGCCAGGACCGCGGCAGAGGTGAGCACGTGCCTGAGAACAAGTCCACATGTCCTTTTCTTATAGTGCTGCTTCGAGACTGCTTTGAGGTGCTGCGATAGCAGAGTTCGTGAAAGGCCGTAGTTGTCGTCCCTCTTGCTTGCTGCAGTCGGGCCTGTGATTTGGTGAAGCTGGTTGGCTTTTTCCGTGTTTTACGAGCGATTCCATTTGTCGACAGACTGTATCTTGTCGTGCTGTACGTTCGACGGACGTTACAGCGCGAGCAGCTGAGTACTGACAATAGTGCACCGGACACTACTGGTCCTTTTTGCGCTAATCACGAAATGGGTATCCCTTCAGTCGAAAGTTTCACGGAGACTTCCGTCCGGGCAGTGCGGCCCTGCTTCTAACATCCTTTCGCTATTGTGGCAGTACCCTTGCGGATGCTTACCTCTGAAAATAAAGTGCTGGCTGATTGAATTGTGACTTACATTATGGCTAGAGAGGGAAGCGTCCCCTGCTGCAAACCCAGCGAGCCAATCCAGCTTTGGTGCATCGCTGATTGTCAATACCTGCCGCTTCCTATTGAACTTGGCATTGGTAATCAATACCTTCTTTTATTGTCCAGGAACTGTTGCGGGACCACCCAAGGCTGCACGACTTGCCAGCAATTCGGATGGAGTTGAGCGTGAAACAGCCAGCGGTCAGCTTAGGACAGTGACATTCAAGGCCACTTCGAAACTGATTTGACCGATGCTCGCAACAACGAAACTTGTACATGAACGTTGTACTGCGCACGTTCAAGCGTGTTCGCTGAAGACCTGCCAATCAAGATATTATTGACTGATCCAGGTGAAACACGTTTGCAAGCTCCCTCCAATATGAAGCACACAAGCTTCTTGACAGACTCCCCATCATGGTATCGACGTTGCATCAGGAGCGCGACCGGCTTTGCTTTAACAATTTATTGCAGGACCAATCTCTCCTTCATACAATAGCACATGGCATGATTTTATTATTGTGAGCATCTTATCATATGAGCCATGCTTACATATATTCGCAGGACAACGCTCAGCTGCACTCTTTTGACATGATTCAGAAGAATCATTTGGGAGCGGACTGCAAGCTTCTATAAGAAACTCGAGATTCATGGGATTCAGCGCATGCCACCCTTTTGAAACGGAATGTGTTTGATGGTGTACATGTCGCAGCTTGCAAATCATCCTCAACTAGGCGCTGCAAAATGCAACATTGATCCACATGTATGCGGCGGCCACGAAAGCCTACATGGTCATATATGACACTGGCCTTATATGAATTAGAGATTAATATCATGTGAACAGCATGAGGGTATAGGCAGTGGACTGTGGATTTTGCCGAGTAGTCTGCCGAGTTTTAGCAAGGCCCATGTGGTCACGTGGTCATGTAACTGTCCACATTCAATTCCCTTTTCGACCGTCCAAGTTTACTGAAAGTGATATCGGACGGTTCTGAAGGTAGGCACGTACGGCTGTCGTCGACAACATGCATTGGCCACTCCCCGATTCGGCAGCCAGCCTGTAAAGTGCAATTGCAGAAAAGGTGCAGACTTGCCCATGTGGTCACCGTCACAGCAGGCGCCAGGGCAATTGCGTTGAGCACCTTCCTCCCAAGTTCCAGCCCAGGGAAACTTTGCCTAGGACGTAGCTTGACTGATAGCGCACCTGCTCTGGTTTCAAAGTTGCCTGACTTGGGGAGCAGCTTTCTGTTGTGGTAAGAAGCAGTTTAGGTGACAGGCACTGTTGATTGTAAGTTCGGTGTTGAGGTGAATTGTTGCCACACTTTGCCAGTTGGTTGTGCTGTTGGCTTTCGCAGCGCCGCTGCAAGAATGGGTAACACATTTTGCTGCGTTTGCATTCCCCAGTCGAAGCTGGGAGTCATTGAGAAGTGGTAAGTTCTGCAAACTGCCCTGATGTGTAGTGGTGGGTTGCCTGCACATGCTGTCTGGAGAATGCTGCTTAGTTGACTCGCGAGCAGCCAACACTGATAACTTCTGTCGGAGAGAAAACTTTTTGGTAGATTCCTGGATTCAACTTATTTTGTTGCACAACTTTGTCTTTCTTGTCCAGGGGGAAGTATACACACATTGCTGACCCAGGGTGCCACGTTGTGAATTGGGTTCTTGGCAGCACGTAAGTCACCCCCTAGCCCTCCCTTGATTGCCAGACTCTCATGCCTCATTTGATTCCACCTTTTCCTGCATACTCAGAATCGTTGGGGTCATTACGCCCAGTTGCCACCATCCATGATTCTGCATTTATTATCTGTTGCAAATCTGGTGTCTGGTTTTGTTCAAAGAATTGGGTGTTGTCTGCTTTTGTTCAAGGATTTGAGTGGAAACACATCCACATGTGGCGGGTAATAGAGCCACTGATGTGATGGCCAAGGAACATACCAACTTGATGGTCTGGTGACAAGCTGTGTCATGCATCGCCACTGATGAAGATGTTCATTCGGTTGATGCAGTGTCGCAGGATACGTCAATCTGCGGGTAAGTTACTCTCTTCCATTCTCAAAGTATATGGTTCGTCATTCCCAGAGTATGTGATCATCATTACAGAAGCTGGGCGTGTCACATCTCTCTGCTTAGCTGATCAATTTGGACGTTTCTATACCAGACAAGTCTGTTTGGGTGAATGTCTCTGAGCAAGTTGGCTCATCAGTACTCCCTCAATATCAGATCACCATGGAATCTTAGGGGGAACGTTGATACCAGGGGATTCCATATACTTTAACCCATGTTTTATTGTCACCTCTATTTCGTTTGAAACTATACCTGCTGACTTCTGAGAAGCTTGTTTCTAACATCATCTTTCTACGGTGCCTGGCCATATCTTCCCTCTTGAGGAGTAGATGCTCTCCATATCTCTACGCTTCAGAGTTTACTATGTTGTTTTGTTGTGACATAGAAGAAAGTCTGGGAAACTTCTGGTCTGGGGTTGCAGGTGCAACAATTGGATGTACGTTGCGAAACTAAGACAAAGGACAACGTGTTTGTTCACGTGGTATGCAGTGTACAGGTCAGTGCTCTCAAACCTTGTGCATTGATAAGGTTGTCCCCTCAGTCTGTCCTGGCTGTTCGATGGAAGGAGAAGTGTGATGAAGACCTACGGCTTGATTGCCAACCTCCGACTGCCCTCTGCCTGACACGGGTTATTAGACAACGGCCCTTCGTCCAGAAAAAGTGTCTTCAAAAGAAGGACTTCCCCTTCGGGGGTAGTTCTCTGTGTAGTTTCAGGACTCTCCTGCATTTTTGTTGACACTGAGAGCCGTTGCAACACACGTCACCAGTTGCTCTCCATATCCAGTTGGATTGGCAAGCTTCAAAAATTGAAGAAGTTTCCAGGTCATCTAAAGCAGGATCAAATCACATTTCATCAGTCTGCCGCTCGCGGACAATAGCTGCTTTTTGATAGGCATCGAGTTTTGCACTCAACTCACTTTGACTTCAAATGATTTATTGAGAGCTATCATAAAAGTCTGCTTTTTCTCCGGCAGCAAATACCAGCTCGCTCACAAGTTATACATCAAAATGCGTGGCTCAACTGAACTGGCTAAAGATTTCGTTTTTTGTCGCTGCAGTACCATGCGATTGAGGACCATGCCTATGAGGCCTTCTACAAGCTGACGGATCCTCAGGCGCAGATCAAATCATATGTTTTCGACGTTGTAAGGGCGAGCGTGCCCAAGGTAGGACTGCGTTTTCTGTCTGCTTTACCCGCTCTCCAGTACTCTCTAGTGCATGTTCTGATGTCGTGTGTCAAAAGGCCGAGAATTTATTTTGGATTTATGACTTTCTTTGACTTTCCTCAAGCTCTTCGTTTCCCCAAAAGCATGTTCTTTCCCCTTTGGCAAGCTCGTCGTTAAAAGCATGGTTTGAATAGAACACATATGGATTGTGCTGAGGAAGGCTTTTTGTCAGTCTTTCCTGCTGGATGCAGGAGTGCTTTGCAAGAGGATTGTAGGTGGCGAGAACATTGTCGAAGACGTTGTATTGAAGCTGCGCTATCTTGCTTGCAGCTCATTCTCGACGATGTGTTCGACCAAAAGGTAAGATTCTCGGGCAAACGTTGTGCTAGCCGAGATTGACACGTTGAGGTTTAGCTTTGCTTTGACTAGTCTCCTGGTTTCTTGGTGTCATCCGGCCGTCCAACTTCAACTCTAAAGTGCGCCAGAGTGGCAAACAGGCTCAACTCAGAGAGTCTACGTCAAAAGCGAAGGTCTCATATTCCTCTGAGCGCAGTTCCTCCTTGAATCTGTCTGTTAACGAGTCATAAAGACACATCTGCTCTTGCGTACGCCGCTCCAAGCTGCCCGACAGTCTCATCTTCGGTCAAAGGGAACCGTAAAAAAAGACTTTTTGCAATTCTGTTTGGCAGGACCACATCGCCGACAACGTCAAGGTGGAGCTGTCCAAGGTGATGGGCACCTTCGGGTACCAGATCGAGCGGGCGCTCGTCATCGACATCGACCCCGACCCGTCCGTCAAGCACTCCATGAACGAAATCAACGGTGAGAACATGCCGTATGCCCGAGCTTCTATAGCCGCTTGCAGGTGGGGCTCAACCTAGTCATGGGTCGATTAACTGCGCGAAGCTCACTTACAAGCGGATTGTATGCGCGTTATCAAGTCGACTTGGGTCGACAACTGTGGCAGACTGCGAAGCTGACTTACGAGCAGTTTCCTATGCCGTTATCTAAAAATCAACCCGGCTCAGAAGGTTATGTTTACAGATGCGCCCTTTTCGTTGGTTCGTGCGTGCGAGTCGTCGTCAACTTCCTTTACTGACGTGTATTTGGGTTTGCGTCATGCAGCTGCCAGTCGGCTGCGTGTGGCCGCCCAGGAGAAGGGCGAGGCCGAGAAGATCCTGGCGGTGAGCGCTCAATCCCCGACATAGTCACACAAGCTTGTTCCTGATGTGTGTCATTGCTAGTCGTGGCATTGCTCGCTGCCGCTCATCCTAAAACGAGTCATCAATCTCTTGTCGTCGAAGCTTCTTGTGCCTCAAGCTCTCGGGCCCTTCGTGACGATCGTGGTCGAGTTCTTCGACCACGATTTAAACTTCGAATTTTTAACAAATTTGACACTATATGAAGCCGAGAGGTGTTCTCGTTCGACATCGAAGACGATTCGACTCAAGCTCCCTATTCGGTTTGCTGGTTGAGTTCCAATCCCGCCCGCTGAACACGATATACGAAACACAAGGGCCTAGAAGTGTTTACAGTTTCAAAGCCGATCTGACACCTCTTGCCGGGCGAGCTCAACGGTCCGCTCGTTGGTGAAAGTCTAATTCTGCCTGCTGATTTATGTCTTGTTTGGTTCACAGGTGAAGCGCGCCGAGGGCGACGCCGAGAGCAAGTACCTGGCCGGGAAGGGTGTTGCGCGGCAGCGCCAGGCCATCACCGACGGCCTCCGCGAGAGCGTGCAGGCCTTTGCGGGCCAGATCGAGGTACGGCTTCTCCTTGTCCACAAGCGGAGCTAGGGGCACAAAGATTGGCAGGCATTCTGATCAGGGACGGGAAGGCATGGGCTTCTTCAAAATTGGGAATACTCTTTGTTGTGCATTACTGCATTGGGGCGGTCAGTCCGTTTGTTAACGCTGACGACGTGTGTAATGAGCTCCTGTGCTACTCGATCCTACGAGTCTCTGCCCTGGATAACGCCCTGCGGTTCCAGCCGCTTTCACGGTTCATTGCGCAGAGATCAAGTGCATACCCGCGCCCAGCTTCTCGCTTTTATAGTAAGCGGACCTTCCTGTAACCGTTCTTGTTAAACATTGCTTTCGCTGGTGTGCAGGGTACGAGTGCCAAAGAGGTCATGGACATGGTGCTGATCACGCAGTACTTCGACACAATGAAGGTAAGGAGACGCAGGCTTGAACTGAAGTGAAATCGCTGTTTCTATCTCGTCTCCGTTCTGACGATCCACGTGTTCTTCACTTGCTCTTGGTGCTTCGGTGTAGGACTCATCTGCTTTAAATTTACAAGCTGTGTACTCTTGGTTCTACATAGGTTTTCGGAACTCATCAGACTTGAGAATTGGGCCACAGTCGTAACGAGGTTGGGTTTCGTTTGGCCGGAACGAAAGAAACACGTCTTTTTGACATAGAAAGATTTATATTCCACTCCCTTCAGACATCGTCTGCAAGCACGTGGACAGTTTGGACTCGGGAGTAATCAGGGCTTCCGCATAACCTTGTGCTTGCTTACGTCAGGCCTGGTAGCTGGTCGAAGAGATTGCGGTGCTAGATCTGCTTTGTGATTACCTTCATGTCATGGTGCAGGAAATCGGCGCTAGCAGCAAGAACACGACGGTGTTTATGCCGCATAACCCGAGCATGGTGAGTGACGTGGCGTCCCAGATCAGGACTGGCTTCCTGGAGGGCGCTAGCGGGATGAAGCGGGAGTAGCTAAACGGTGTAAATATGCGACAGCAGATATGTTGGTAGCAAGAAGTCCATGGCGCTCTGTACAGAGTCAAGGGTGTATAAGTGCATATGCCTCAGTGGCGAGTCAAATGCCGGCAACGTGTAATGACTGATTTTGAGCGAAGGAGTCGGTAGAGCGCAAGAGGCAATAGATTCGAACGTTCTGGCAAAGACCTCTTTGAATGACGGTAGCAGAAGAGCCGCGGTGGTAAAAAGTGTTAGTAGAGCTCCACCAAGTTTGCTGCAATCGATAAGAGCAGAATCGAAGGGAAAGTTGGCAACTGCTTGCTTCCCAAACCAATGGTGGACATATTGCACTGCAAGCGATTTATCGATTCATCTTCCGGCAACTTCGATCCGATTGCAATCCGAATCGAAGTAAGCAACTTCCTCTAAATTTACCGGATTCGTTGCATCAAGCTGGTATGATCACGGAAATGAAGCCCAAGAAAAAACGCCATGCGCATGCTACCGTACGGAAATCAGCTGTCTTTCAAAGGGAGGGCCCGGCCCGGGTCGGAGGCTTCAAATGCCGGTCCGCCGGCCGCGCGCCGCCCTGAGAAGTAGGAAACTCTCAGACGGTGTCCGATCGGCCGTACTATCGACGTGGACCGATCGTCCGTACATGATGACACCGACGGCTGGCGCAGCTCTGCCGATCGGCTCGAGCAGCTACTTGCGGGCCGTCCCAGCCGTCTATCGCATGAATCAAAACGCGCGAGCAGATTGACAGTGCCCTTCGAGGCTCTTGAATCTGAGCCTGAGATTCGTACTAGTAGTACCTACTACGGTCCCAGCTAACAAGCTCGTCAAGACTCAAGAAACTCAAAGTGGGTATCTCATCTCTTTTATGAAGCATGGGCTTGCCTGTCACACCTCTAAGCATCACAAGGTACATTCTCCGGTACATGAGTAACTACCTACCTAGGTATTTGGTAGGTTCTGTCAGAAAGTCAGATCCTAAATTAATTGGATCTGCTCAAGCGTCAGAACGAGCCAAGCCCGGAACGCCATGTGATCGTCCCTCGTGCTGCACAGGCTGACGAACCCGGCGTGCGAATTCCGGATCGCGAATCGCAGATCGAGATAATTGCTTCGTTGTGGGTACTCGCAGGGAATCCTGAACTGATCACCTCTCAAAGCCCGCGCCTAGAAGTTATTCAAAGCAAACGTCGATACCTAGTATTTGAGGCATTGAGGTGTCCTGGTGCCAGTGGCCCGGTCGGAACAAGCGTTGAATGATGGTTAGTGGCTCAGTCAATCAAAGCGCAATTCGGAGCTCTGTCTTTTCAGTTATAGCTGCCCCTGCGACTCGTCCTTTGGGTAAACAACAACGCAAATAGCAAGTCAACAGACTCTCAAGGCGCAGCTAGTCAGTGTTGGGGAGTCCCCGCTCACGCTCTTGCTTAGATTGCCTCAAGAGCAGGGGGGCTGATCCATGGACGTCAGGCCAGCTAGCTTATCACAAGCCAGTAGTTTTCGAAGTGAACGTCTTCGTTGCGCTGATTCTCTGCAACGTAAGGGGGCGAGCAGAGGCGATATTGCGGCAGTCAGTGGGGCCTAGAGCACGGATTGGGCCTGGATGGAGTATTATGCACACAGAACAAGCATCACCTGCAGAAGGTCAAAAATTTCTTGAGGTTTAGGAAGTTCATAAACGATTATTGTGACCAGCCCAATCGCCTCGCTGCGCGACTGCGCTGCTCTCATTGACGTGCCTGCCTGCCAATTGCCTGCAAGGATGGCAAGCAGAATATGAGCACCTTGCGAGTTTTATGGTGGTCTGGCTGCGACACTGAGTGGCACAGGTTATGAGGAGAAGGAGGCCTCTGACGCGCTGCGGGAACACGTTCCTGCGGCGTTTCCTTAAGGTGCTGGCCGGCCATTTGATTGGGGAAACAGGTTAAAGTAGCTCTAGCTCAGCAAGAGGGAGAAGTTGCCCAGCTTTCAAGGGAGCACTCGGGAGACGTGGAACGTGTCCCCTTTGGCAACTTAGTACGGGAGCCTACTCCTAGGAGATAGTCATGTGGGTCAACTGCAGCAACCCGAAGTTGGAGGGTCGCTGCGAAAAGTGCGGGGCAGTTGCCTTCTTCAAACGAGCGCCATAATACTTGATGGAGTCAGGCCCTGAGCTCAGAAGGGGTTGTTTCAGAATTCAAGGAAAGGTTTGATGGACGTACCGCCTAAAAGGCCAGGGGGAATGCACTAGGATGCCTTTGAACATCAGTTCCACCTTTCGGGCCTCCGGCAGACCAGCATCTGCAAGAATGCGCCATGGTCGGGATTTCCCCCCCTGTCTCCAGAATCGAGACATTGCGGCAAGGCTCCCTGCGGAGGCAATGGCGGCCAGCTGGAGCTTTGCAGCTCTGGTGCTGGTACTCCTGCTGATGACCCCGACGGCAAAAGCGCAAGGTGAGCTTGTCATGCCAACTCAACTGGAGCAAAAGTCTGTGATGGGGTGAATTTATTCTTTGGGGTCTTTAGCTCGCTTGTTGATCGACCGCTGAATCTTGCTTGGGGCCACAAGCTGACCAAATTGGCAAACGGCACCAAACCACCACCCGATATCCATATCATTCATTTTGTGGGCATCAAGTTGTTTTGGTGGAGGAGTACCTTTAAAAAAACCTGCAGCCACCTTCTTGAGCAAAGTGGGCGACAGCGCACCGAAAGCCACTGTGTCACAAAACACAATTTCTGATCATCTCAACATGACAACCCTTTACACCTGCCATACTCTTGCCCCTGCAGTCGTCCAAGTCGGGTCAAGGTACTGGACCTTGATGTCGAATACAGACTTCTCGGGGTTCGACATATTGATCGGCACTGGTCAGTGTGGCGGTGGGCGTGGATACATGTCGTACACTCCGTCGCAGTGCGCGACCGTGTGCCTCTCGTACACAAATTGCGTGGGCTTCGAAGTGACCACGGACTTCCAAAAGTGCTGCTACGCCAAGAACCAGATGAGCGGCGCGGGCACCTCCGCAACCGCCGACGCGTACATTCTCATTCGGAGTGAGCGGACACACAACCCTAGTAATCTCGTCGACGTGAATCAACAACGGATCTAAGACGCCTTGATGCCAGTGCGGTGGGGAGAGTTCGTCTAAATGGGGGGCCAGAATGGATAGGACGAAGCGTTGTTGGTCACTGGTCCGACTTGCAGGAGGGCAAGCAGTGTGGAATGCTGGAGCCTGTTCTGTGACATGTGATTCTGTCAAAAGGGGTTCTGATCTACGACAATCCTGGAGTCATGTCGTTTCTGAGGACCGTGTCACATCTTGAGATTCAAGAAGCCAGGAAGTTGACGCCTTTTGACTTGGAAGTAACAAGGCGTCCTCATCACAACCTCCCGGTGTGGAGCAGCCAGCGAGTGAAGGACTTTATCAGGTACATGCACAAGCAACGCTCCAACTTCAGGTGATGGCGGTTTGTACTTTTGCCCAAAGTCCCAGCACTTGCCCCAGTCGAGGTTCAGAAAGCGTAAGTGATTTCTCTTACTTTTTCCTGCAGATCCTCCCCCAAATCCTCCTCCGAACCCACCGCCACCGAATCCACCGCCGCCCAACCCACCACCCCCCAACCCTCCGCCAAACCCGCCGCCTCCGAACCCTCCTCCTAAACCGCCACCGCCCAACCCTCCTCCAAATCCGCCACCGCCCAACCCTCCTCCAAATCCGCCACCACCAAACCTTCCTCCTAACCCGCCACCGCCCAATCCTCCTCCAAACC